CAACTGCAATATGACTATCAGAGGTCATTCAACGCGCCTCTCAAGCCTGAGGATACAGCGAGCGTGCATGTACGTCTTTGATGATCCATTTCTTCGTGAATCCCGTTTGAGACCTGGTTCATACCACTTAAGCCTATTGGCAGCGGATACAGTATAGACAACGGGAAAGGGAGCAATATTCGCAGAGAATTGATCTTATCCTTAAAGCGTAAAAGCTTCTGCCATACAATGAGAACGATGATTTACGACTGCTTACATGAGGCGAGTTGCATTAAAGGTTCAGGCGAGTGCGTAAACCGGACACGGGTCAGTCGAACTTAGCGGCCTTCTAAGGTACCTATGATCTAACATGTAGTCCCGTGCCCCCGAAATTTGGAGTTAAAGCATCGACTTTAACTGCCCCTTTACCGAAATCCAAAAGCCTTCCCCCTCAAAAGGAAATAAAGACCACGTCAAAGAGCATCTGCGCTCTTTTTGCTTTTGGCTCTCTTCAACGCGCTCTTGATCTCCTCATACTTGAACCCATGGCGCGCCAAAGAGGTCTGTCGAATGCTTCTTCGTCACCTTCTCTTCCCGATGGAAATCAGGTACCCAGGGAACATTAAACTCTTTAGTGCTTGAGGGCGTATCAACTAACGCTGTTGAAGGAGCTGGAGAGCATGTATGATTATCTGGCCAAAGTGATCCTGCTTGGGCCAAGCGGTGCCGGAAAGTATGTGTCTTGCTCTTGATACCCTCCCAAGTGTATTTTGCTACTGTTGCTCACATGGTACGGCTCACCGCAGGTCATGTGTATTACATCGATTCGTGAAGGACGAATGTACGGCTCCGAACCCTGACTGAGCCTGATCCTATCCCTTGCTCCCCCTGAGCTGGATAGCCGGCTCGCTAATACACCATGCGACTGTAGGGAGAGTGTTGTCATCACAAACGATCGGGGTCGAATTCTCCTCGAAAATAGTCAGGCTCGGATCCGGTCCCCGAAAAACAAGGATTAAACTGCAGCTTTGGGACACCGCGGGCACAGAGAGATTTCGTTCCGTCTCAAGATCGTACTATCGCGGAGCTGCAGGCGCTATCCTGATCTACGACATATCTTCGCAAGCTTCATTCGCAGCGCTTCCTACTTTTTTAATGGATGCACGTGCCCTTGCATCTCCTAACCTCACTGTTCTCCTGGCTGGGAATAAGGCGGACCTTGCGTCTGACTCCGCGACCCATGGCGATTTCGCAGATGACAGCATAAGAGCACCCCCTACTCCTTCCAGCACTAGCAGCAAGCAGTCATCATTCCCAATCGACTCGGTCCCTGGTTCCGTTCGATCTACAAGCCTTTTGGGTACTGGAACAAGGCTCACGGCGACAAATGCCTTTGAAGGTCGTCAAGTGAGTGCCGAAGAGTCAGGGCACTGGGCTGCCAAGGCGAATATTCCTGTTGCTGTCGAGGTGTCGGCTCTTACCGGAGAGGGCGTGGAAGAATTGTTCAACCGGTTGGCACGAATTATCCTTACCAAGATTGAGCTAGGGGAGATCGATCCCGACGATCCTCAAAGTGGCATTCAATATGGAGATGGCGGACTGTATGGCCAGGGCACTAGCGATGGGTCGAGTATTCGAAGTCGAATGACAGTCGATGATAATTCCGTGCAACTGCATCGCAGGAATCCAAAAGGACGGGGTGGCAGTAGGGGAGTGAATAACTGGAGAAGCAACATGGGAGAATGGGAAGAGGTCTTTCGACTCAGCGGCTCGCACCAAAAGAAGGGTACCGGATGCTGTTGACCCTTTCGAGCGGTTAAACCTCTGGCACGTGTGGATTGTTGGGCGTGCCCTTCCCTCGCTCGCGTCATAGTCACTCATTGCTCTTATCTTAGCCCTTCTCCTCTGGAAGGTCTGCGCATCGGTATTCATTTACCCCGTATACAACATAACGGAGGTGTGCATTTGCCTTACCTCTTCTGTCTGGTTCCTTATTCCGCACGCACACGCCCTAGATACCTTACATTGCCCTCTTTGCCTCGGAGTTAGGTTCCATTTCTGCTCGATATTTTCATGAACAATGGACCCGGTAATTTTGCCTGACCCCTTCTTTTATTTTCCTTTTTCTTTGCCTTTTTCTTCTACGCTGTGCGAGTCCCTAATGCCTCTCATCGCTCCTCTGATATGGCTTCCCTTGCCATTGTGGCTAATCAGCGAATACCTCATTATGCATGAGACCACCTACAGCTCTGTCACTTGAGAGCGGCTGAAATTCTGCCAATCCTGCGTCGCGTGACCAGCGAAATTCGTGGTTGACTTGAGTTGGGCTCAGATATACAACTATATTATTTTATTCCAAATATTAGACTCCAGAGCGGCTACCATGTCTTCTTCGCCTCCTGGTCTCAAAATAGGTAGGGGCCGAGACGGCGCAGGTCCACTGATTCGAATTACACTTTTTCGAAAGTTATATGATCATCGGGGTGGCCGTCTCAATCTTGGATCCCAGCAATGAGTGTTTTGATGCCTTTCCCGGCCTTGACTTCCTTGAATGCCTGTTCAGCGTCATGGAACTCGACCACACCGGTGATAAGATCCTTCACATTGACCTTGCCGGATGCGACCAGGCCGACCGCGAGCTTATAGTCACCACTCCCATACCGAAAGCTACCTTTGATATTCAACTCTTTCGTGCAGGCCGCCATGATTGGAAACATTATTTCGCTCCGGCCCATGCCACCTTGCACGTATGTGCCACCAGGGCGCAGAACATGAATTCCGGTGTGAACGGACGGTTCAGCCCCTGAGGCGTCGATGACCACATCTGCACCAACTCCTAGGTTGTTCTCTTTTCTCAGTCGGTCCGCGTTGTCCACCGCGCTTACTTTGGCGGGCTCGAAAGTTGATGTTGCCGCATATTTCTTGGCAAAGTCCAGTCTCGCCTTTTGTATGTCCACAGCGATGATTTTAGCGGCGCCAAAAGCTTTTGCGACGGCACAGCACAAAAGCCCGACGGGCCCGGCTCCGAAAACGATCACGGACTGGCCGGGGGTGACGCTTGCTTGTCTCACGATGTGAGCAGCGACGCCTAGAGGCTCCATGAGAGCCCCCTCTTGTAAGGAGATACTGTCGGGAAGTTTGTAGCAGAAGTCCTCGGGAAGTACATAGAACTTGGCTAACGTGCCATCGTATGGTGGAGTCGCTGCGAAGGCCATTTTCTCACAGAGGTTGTATTTGCCAGCTTTGCAAGGTTCGCATCTACGGCATGGAATACCTGGCTCCATGGCGACACGGTCTCCAACTTTCAAGCCTGTGACAGCTGAGCCGACCTTGCTGATGACTCCGGAGGACTCATGCCCTAAGACCATAGGATCCTTCACAACAAACTGGCCGATCGAACCATGCTCCCAATAGTGGACCTGAATGCAACCGATGCGAAACAGTCAGCCTGATCAACGATCCCGCGGGACAGGTGGATATAGAGTGTTAGGCTGAATGCGCAGATACGTACATCACTGCCACAGATACCAGTGAATTTGACGTTCACCAGTACATCGTGAGGGTCTTTTAGTTCTGGAATAGGTCGATCTTCAAATTTGACCTGGTGAATACCTTCGAGGACAAAGGACAGATTCTATTTCGATAAGTTGTTAACCTTCTTGCTTCTTCTTTCCCCTTCTCCGCGCTCCTATTGCCTTTCATGGTTGGTAATGACACCAGAGACGCGGACACACCTGGGCAGTGGCTGTTGATGTACTCATTTTGTATCGCTTTTGTCTGTGCTCAAGGTTCGCCGTCTATTCTTCTTCTTATCATTCCTTTATTGATATAGGAAATCTCAGCCGGTTGTTTTGTGAGAACGTCGGCGGTCTGAAGAAGGTACACGGAGGTAAGCTGAAGGGGAAAGACAGAGGAAGAGAAGGAGGGTTGCTTGCTACTGTTATACTCGACAGGATAAAAGAGAGGAGGGGCGTGTGGAGAAAGAAAGCTTACCCAAATTATCCAGAACCAGAACTTATGAACTGGAGCAGCGAGCTTTTCAGAGAAACATCTATCTAGATAGTGGATAATATAGCGACCTGAATTGAATATCTCCGCTCCCCGCCCAGTTGTCTGGTCACACTGGTGGGGGTGACTTGACCTCAGTCGGGTCGGGCGAGACCCTTTTACTTTGTAGGTATTGGAAATTACCCGTGTGGTACCTCCTATTTAGCCGGCGAAGCTGGGAGAAAGAGGTTGAAACAGGAAAGAAGACGGAAGGGGGAAATAATGGTCTTCTTAGATTCAGCTTCGGATGAGACTCGCCTCTCATGCCACCTAATATTCATATGGCTACTCTGGGGATGTGGTTGGTGTCAAACTGATGTCATAGCCCACCTAAGAAGCAGTTGCCATGAGTACATCATATTCCCATCTTCGCATATAAGGTATCCTTAAACATTTATACCTAGTGAGAGTCTGTTCCTGCTTGACCATCTCCTTCCTCATCTCCTTTCAATAGTCCCCATATTTACTGTTCCCGTGACCATCATCGCCAGACGGGTAAATAAGTTAGCGTTGTGGAGATGAAGTCCAACTGAAAAATGTGTCTGTATTTACACCCACAGTTCTTTGAGATTTAGGAATGACTTGACTACGCAGTGGGACAATTGATGATCAACTTTTTAGCCGTTATACCGTAGCTATAAAAACAATAACTCACACACGCAAGAAGTAAAAAATATGATAAAAGAAGAAAGAAAGAAAGAGGACATACCTAGGTAATAATCACAATCACAACACTCATACCCCTCTACGGAGTAAGGTAGATAGGTAGTTTTCCCAGGACTGGCCAATGAGCAAGGCTTATTAAGCTAGATGCATATGCATATTTCCGTTGGAGCGCTGCTGAGGAGAAATTATCCGTCATGAACGGAGTATCACTGACCTGACGGAAAAATCAAACGCCTTTCTATCTGAGTTACCTGAAGGTTGGGTCGAGATATTTGCTATCTTTGGTTTATATTTAATTCCCCATTACTATGGTCGGATCGAATGTCCTCCTCCAGCCCTGGAGGAGGGCGGTTTCCCATGCTGTTCGGCCGAGGACGACCACACCTACGTACCAGTACCGATACTTCAGGGCAACTGCTCGAATCTCTGCCAACGATAAGTCGCAGTCCTTTAAGAATCAGCTGTATGAGAGTACGCAGCAGCGGTTGAAGCGGGAGCGCGCTGAGCAGGAACGGTTTTCTCAGTATCAGACTCAGTCACCAGGTGGTCGCTATGCGGCTTTGACGTTCGGTATGCGATCCGCTCAGGGATACGTGCCATGGGTACTTTAGCTCATCTTCTTTCTTCAATATGGCTCTAATTCTCATCTTAATAGCATTGGTTTTCTTCTCTACTGGTGCATATTACCTAGGATCATTGAAGCCCGCTAGTCTTCCAACGTCGTCAACCACCACCCTCTTCGAAATCGAGCCGCCGCTCCACAATATCTCACCGGCAAATCTACAGGCCGCTTGGGCAGACTTCGTTGAGATTCTAGGAAAGGAAAATGTATCCACGGAACATGGTGACCTCGATGTACATTCCGGTTCTGATTGGTCTTCGTACACACTCAAAAAAGATGAAAGGCCTTTCCTTGTCCTCTATCCAGCAACCACCGAGGAGGTTTCCCGAATTATGAAAGTCTGCCATCAACGGGTCATTCCTGTGACGCCCTACTCCGGTGGTACCAGTCTGGAGGGGCATTTTGCTCCCACGAGAGGAGGGGTGTGTATCGATTTTCGCCGCATGGATCGTATCCTGGAGCTCCACAAAAAGGACCTTGACGTTGTGGTCCAGCCTGCAGTTGGGTGGGAAGACCTTAATGAGGAATTGTCTAAAGAAGGTCTCTTTTTTCCACCTGACCCGGGTCCCGGCGCTATGATTGGCGGTATGGTCGGCACTGGCTGTTCCGGGACCAATGCTTACAGATACGGCACAATGCGAGAATGGGTTCTTTCTTTGACTGTTGTCCTTGCAGATGGAACTATTATCAAAACAAGACAACGTCCGCGGAAATCGAGCGCCGGCTATGATCTCACCAGGCTGTTCATTGGAAGTGAAGGAACTCTTGGGCTTGTGACGGAGGCTACATTGAAGCTGACTGTCAAGCCCAAGAGTCAAAGCGTTGCCGTTGCTAGTTTCCCATCCATTCACAACGCCGCAGAGTGCGTGACCCGCGTGGTGGAAGAAGGTATCCCAGTTGCGGGGGTTGAGATCCTTGATGACGTCCAAATGAAATGCATCAACGATAGTCGGACGACTCGTCGACAGTGGAAGGAGTCACCTACTCTCTTCTTCAAATTCACAGGGACCCCGTGGGGGTCAAAGAACAAATTGAGCTTGTTCGGAAAATCGTCTCTAGTAGTGCAGGGCAATCTTTCGAATTCGCTCGAGGGGAAGATGAAATGAAAGAACTTTGGAGTGCTCGGAAAGACGCGCTCTGGAGTGTGATGTCCATGAGGCGAGGTCCCGAGGACCGCGTTTGGACCACCGATGTGGCAGTGCCGATGAGCAAGCTGCCCGACATAATCGAGGCAACGAAGCAGGATATGACAGAAAGCGGATTGTTGGCCGGAATTTGCGGCCATGTCGGGGATGGCAATTTTCACGGTACTACACCTGCTGTTTTCCCATCATTAAGTAAAAGCATAAAGCTAATCTCTGCCCAATTTTCTTAGCAATTATCCTGTTCAATGAGGATGAAAAGAAAATTGCGGAAGGTGTTGTGCACCGAATGGTCAAGCGAGCAGTTGAAATGGAAGGCACAGTCACTGGCGAACACGGGGTTGGCCTCATCAAGCGGGACTATCTTCAGCATGAAGTTGGGGAAACCACGGTGGACACTATGCGGCGGGTAAGTTATTAGGACTCTAGCTGTGGGACTGGTTTGGATCCCGACGTTGACTCTATGCAGGTAAAAATGGCGCTGGATCCCCTTCGCTTACTTAATTGCGACAAAGTTGTTCGAGTAGAACAACCAACGCCAGGGGAATTAAAGAAGTGGTGAACAGTGGCATTTACAACAACAGTACTAAGGAAGGTACTTCACGTAGCTTGAACAAGCCAAAGAAGGAAGAGCGCAAAGTAAAGATGGTGTGCAAACGACGTTTTCGATACTAGCGATTAGATTGACCGATCGCGTCGCTAATATCCGTAACCCCTTGACTCTGCTTCGTAGCGTCTTCCGTACCCATGCCGTGGCTCGGCGTACTCACTGCTGTCGTTGTCCTCGTCTCCACGGTACTCTACTCGAGTGTGATATTCTTCAACTTCTTCGTATGCTCCTTGCCGGCCCTCGTACCGTGGCTGATATTCCCTGCGCAGACGTGGTCAGTGATACATCCGAGTAAAAGGTCAACGTCGGCCAAAGTCCCCTAACGTATGTTTCACTAACCTGTCTGGCCTGCTGTGTTCATGGAGCCCAGTCCGTGCAGTGTCATATGTAGAACGGCCGCTGTCATAATCGTACCTGGAATTCGTATCGTCTCTCCTATCATCGTCTGCACGTTCATAAGCCGCCTGCGGTCTTTGTTGGGACCACCGACTTTCACCACCATCATAGTCTGGTCGATCGCGACTGTACTCTACACCTCTCCGATTCTCAACGGAAGGATATCCCTCAGCGGTCTCATAACATTCGGAGTCTGAACGGCGATCAGGGTTCACGTGCGTATCCTCGTAATCTTGTCTACCACCTCGTGAACCGTGCCTTTGGTGATCTTGGGACCATTCCCGTCGCTCATGATCATCCCCTCCTCCCCCACGGACGTAGCTCGAGGTGCTTTCGTATGTCGGGCCATCATCGTCTCTTGAGCGGCCTTCATTCCATCCCTGTCGAGCCTCCCTTCCGTACTTGCTTTCCCCGGAATATCGATCCTCGCCGTCAGCCTTTGTTTCGAATCGGCTCTGGCCTCCATACTGTCGGTGAGATTGTCCAAGGCGCCCATCCCCCTGAAAATCAGTCTCGCGTCTTTCATTATCAGACCGACGGGGGCTGGAATCGCTTAGTAGAATAGATCCGACTCCACTCACAAGACCTCCAACTAAGCCTCCGAGAGCTCCACCGCCCGCAGCCTCTGCCGCAATCTTACCAAGACCGCTGGTGCTCGGCTTATAACTCTCCTCGGGGCTAGTTTTACCCCTATGGAGTGTTAGAGGCTTACCGCATCCATGTCCTGAATCATGCACGCCTTCTTTGTGATTCTTGCCCTCACGAACACCCTCACGAGAGAGCTGTTCCCGAAGACTCTCCTGTTCCGCCTCATCTTTTCTGCCCCACCACTCCTCGACAGTGTTGAACATGATTTGGCGTATATCAGATGCTCCGTCCTCACCATATTGACGTAAAGCCGGATGATGGAAGACGCCGGTGATGATTCGGTCTAGTGTCCTGTCCACATCAATGTTTTCATCGTCCCAGCACTCCATCAGCTGAGGTACTGTCCATTTGACTACTCGGGAGGCAATCTGGCCGGCCGGTTCGTTCAGGACGTTCGAGAAATGATCTTTGGAGAGCATCGAGTGGGTGGGGTCTGAGGAATCATCATCATTGAATACAACGTGCTGCTGTGCCCGGCTACTTTCAATGACTTCGGAGGAGCCGGTTTGAAGCTCGACCTTGACCTGCCGGATGATGGGAAGTATATAGGGCGCAAGAATGGAGAAGACGAAGATGTTGATCTGCTCCTGAAACTGTTCAATCAGCTCCGGCAAGACTGGGATCTCTTCAATGGCGCGATTGATGGACTTAATGAGCTCGTCATGCCACTCAAGAACAGGGTAAATCTGCTGATGCACATCGTCCAAGTACCGCGTCCATTCCTCGGGCTCACGGGGACTGATCTCTTGATTGTGCTGCTTGGCGTTTTGAGACTTGGCTTTGAACTCGTCCATTTTGTTGGCTTGATCATCGCTATTTCCAATCAGTCCCTCGGGGATCTTGTTGAGCAAGTCCTGTATGAGGCTCTCGGAGGGAGTTCCACTTTGTGACTCATTGATGACCCCTTCAAGAGACTGGACTTCAGATTGAATCGTCTTGTCCGACAGCTCACCCAGTACCGAGTGAAAAAAGTCCACACCGCCAAAAGTGCCAGTAACAATGGGATAGACGTAATCCTGAGCACCGTCAACTTCAACTTTGGTGTTGCGACCCACGTGCGGGAAGACCGTTGATTCTCCCAATTCAATAAGACTCAGTTCAGTGTAATTGGAATGTGCTGCATAGTCTTCCAAGCAATGGAGGCCAGTGCCAAGCAAACGAAGAGCCTCATGGAGGTCATCATCATTACGTGATCTTGCATACCGCCGTCCCAGCTCAACCGAACGCTTAAAGACTCTGCGGACCAGGCCCGCAGAGGTCCCGATGCCGAGATCCTCACTAGCTATATAGTTTTTCAGGCCTATATGTTGGGGATTTGAGAGATCAGCCGGGCTAAGTTTTCAGTTGAAATGGGGTTCCCACCTGTCCTGGGATCGACCGACAGCTCGCGCTTCTCGTCAACGGGGCCTCTCAATCGACGGTCATACCGGCGCGCGTCCTCCCCTTCGGCATAACCGAGAGGATTATCGATATGCTCAGTAGGCTCATAGCAACCTAGGCGTTCAGTGGTCACCTCAAATTCTTTGGTTCCGTAGCTGCAGACGTTTCTTCAGCAAGTGATCATTGCGGCAATGCCTGCAAATGTTGACGGCTTACCCAAAACTAAGAAACCCCAGAACCCATATCAGGATGCGAATAGCTTCGGCACTGACATATTTCAGGGTGCCGACATCCACGGCCTGGCTGTAATCGCGAAGCCAATTTCCAAAATATACGCGCTGAACATCGAGCTTGCCAAATTTACGGCCACCAGCTGCACGGGCCAAGAACAAGGTTAACAATGTATCTTCAATATCGCCATGGCGCCAATTTTGGCCCTCGACTTGCGAAATTGATGCGATATTGCCGGCACCGAAGGCCTGGGCTTTCCCCGATAGCAATAGCAGGAGCAGAATGGAGAGGGTCAGGCTCTGGACGCTTGACCCCATGGCTGGTAGATCCCTCTTGGATAAAATAAGGCGCCAGAGTTCGGGATTTCGAATAACGTTTATGAGCGAATATGCAAAGATAAACCCTGCTACTGTCAGAATTCCTTTATAATAAGGATAGTCTTCTAGGGTAAGGGTTAGGGAAATACTGACTATATTCAACGGGGTCTGCTTTTTTCCTGGATAAGGAGGGGGAGAGGAATAGAATGAGTACCCCGCCATTGGTTTTGATTCTGGCCTTGGGCGAGAATGACAGTAAGCAAGGAGTGGAGTGATCGATATTTAGTCAGGATTAAGGAGCCCTATCACCATTCGGGTCCCCAATTGGCCTCTTGGCGGTATACAATGATAGGACAAGCCCTCAGACTTCATGCTCGTTGTTAAGTGCTTAACGTCTTGGCAGCACCCACACAGGTTGATAAATACCAACAAAACAGCTAACAGTGGGTATCAAAATAGATCTATGAACTGTTATTGGTTATTAATTATATGGAGTATTTAGGACTCCTAGCAATACTTATGGTAAGCCTAGGGAGTAATAATAACCATGATAAATAATAACAATAATAGTACTCCGTAGTGGTGAACTGATGATGATATACTCTGTAGAAACTTCTCACTTCAGGGGTGAAGGCTCCAAGGATGTTATTTATGTAAGGTACTTATTACCTAAGGTAAAGGTACAAGGCCCCGGGGACGTGGTGTACCGAGTACTATTGGAGAGAGAATACCTTACTGTAGGTACACTGTAGACTAGGAAAAGGCCATCCGCGTCCGGCGGCGCCAAGCAGACCGTACCTTACACTACCCAAGTACGGTCCGGTACGTACCTGTGGTACTACAGGTACCGTAAAAGGTACCTTATTTATCTCTGAAACACCCCAGCCACTGCGGAGTAAACAGTCTACGGAATACTCAATGATCAGCTATACTTCATTTTTATTACGGACATTCACAGCCTAGTAGTTATAGTAGGCGGCGAAATGTGCTTGTGAGTATTGTCTCAAGCTCTAGAGGCGTATTTCAAGATATGTGATCTATCGTTCATCCTGTCTCCCGTCGTCTGCCCAGTAAGGCACACACCACACTCAAGTAGAGTCCGCCCGCAAGGAATAAGGTATCATTCACCTCGTAATCATCATTATCCAGGGTGTTATCATGTAAGACTGTGCTCTGTACATAGGTACCTTCACTGGGTACCTGCACAGAAGCTAAAGTACCAGCCTACCTACAGTAGTGGATAACTTACCCAGGTAATGAGGTCATAATGTGACGGTAGACTATGCATTTTTGGCATAGGCTTACAACTTATTAGATAGGCTACTCCATACTACCAGGTAGGGAGATACATTATTGTACCTGACGTTCAGCTGTACTGTACGGAGTGCTTGATACAAGTATTGTAGGTAAGGTAGGTATCAACATGGTTTCCCAGCCTTGTCCGGGAAACCACCCACTCCTCCGTCTTTCCGGTAAATCCACAATGTGTCCTGACCTCCTAACCACGAGCCTTCTTGGTCCTGTGGCTGACCAGCGCCCAAATGTGCGTGCAAATCATTAACTACATATTGGCTTTATGTCCCAGCACCTCCTCATTATTCAATCTGACCATAGACTTTGGGTCTGCATCTCTTGTTTTCAGCTTCACCGATTCTGATTGATGCCAGTGGTCTGGGCCGGCCGATACCACACATAGTCTTACCCCGCTACTCTCTCGGTTCAACTCCGGTAGATATCAGATAATAGATACTACGAGCTTCAAGTATCGGCTTCTTAACAACGGCTTTCACTTGCCCTACTTGCACTTACCTAGCTATTCAGTGTGCTCTGAGACGGCCATGAATTCCTTGTCCTAGCATTGAGCATATATTGTCTCATGCAGTCCAAGGAGACTGTCATCAGAGCGCTCTCCAGGAATAGGAAAGGCGGTTTATCTGACCTCCCCTTCGTTTGGCACAAGCGAAAGTCAATTTGCTGCAAATAATCTCAATCGATTTGATCCTCTTTACCTTCAAATTCTTTCCATGCATATTTGGACAGCGCATTTGGAAGATAGGATCCTGTCACTTCGCCATGATACTACATTGCCAGTCCACTCTTCGGCCCAACTGAGCGACCTTATCATCTGATACATGAAGGATTCCAATTCACACGTCTTGTTCCAGAGGTGATACCCAGTCATATCGACAATCTAAACAATCACCCAAGCATTGGGACCTTACTTGATTGAGGTACAAAATCATGCCCTTACTCGCAAAGTCACCTCGCAATACCCTATCAACAATGTCGATTGATCACCCAAGGTCATCTTTTGAGGAAGAAGGGCTCAAAATATCCACGAATTCTTGGAGAGGAGACTGTCGCAGCGACTCTCACACTACAGCTGGTGCCAGGAGGACTGTTTCATTGCATACCCGGTCTATCAGCGGAACACCATGTTTCTCTACGGCGAGCAGCCCAGGCATGGACAATTCCGACTTACGTTGCGTTCACCCTATGCGCCAAGTGCCTGGTGCCTATACACCACAATTAAGTCAGTCCTGTCAAACACCTCTCGTGGAAAACGAGGGGTTTGAAGGACGAGTCTCGACTGAGCCAGGACGGTCCACTCAGACAGAATCTGATCCCCTTCGATCTTCTGTTCGTGGATTTGCTACACAGACAGCGCGACATTCGTTGCAGATGCATGATAGTTCGTTCACTAGAATACCTAGTATATCACAAACGAATCTGACCGGACGAACATCTTTTGGCTATTCACGAGACAACAGCAGCTCCCTTGAAGCAGCGTCACCAGTCTCAAGATCATCTTTAGATTTCGTGTTCCGATCGAAGACACGGACAAGCATGGATCCTATATCTCGTGCCGCCACAATTCAAGCAGCACGTCAAGCGTTTGAGGAAAAAGAAGCAGCCAAAGCACGCAAGCTTGAAGAACAGCAAATGAGGGCTGAAGAGAAACAAACGAGACGAAAAGGAAAACAAGACTGGCGCACATCATTTACAGTTGCAAACAAACAGGAACCAAAAAATGCGCTATCTGAGAAGTCGAGTGCCACCGAAGAACTAGCTGCTCCCACGGATGTGCCACAACGCAAGTCGAATCCAGGCTCTTGGAGATCAGAATCCAAGACGACCTGGATGTTGTTTTTAACATGGTTACGGACTAGGGTCTTCAAGATACGCAGGAAGTTCCAAAGTTTGGGCTGATCTTCAAGATACGCAGGAAGTTCCAAAGTTTGGGCTGATATTATTTAATGTCCCAATCATAGCGGACCCATGATATGGGTATTCAGTTGGAGCGAAGGCTGGCCTTAATAGATCCCATTTACCGTGCCTACATTCGAGGATCACCCGCTTAGTTGGGTCATTTGTACGATTTCCAATGATCGTATGAGACTCTCATGAGTTGAAACTTGTCCAATTTCTTTGTCTTGCTGCCTGCCATGGGTCGTATTCTCAATGTAAAAATGTGAGTAAGTAGCTGTCTCTTCGTAAGGTGAGCAGGAATGTGGCTGATCACGTGAGCGGTACCATCACATTGCGCAGAAGCAGTCTCTGCGCAGCCAGACTTATAGGATTATTCTACGGCGTGCCAGATAGCTCAACATACTACAGCGGCAGTGCGACTACGGTCTGCAGGAGCGACAACAGACGCCTTTTCTTGTTCCTTTGTCCTATCGGCTCCCGTTATCACTCTTCCTGATATCAGATCCGCTTCCTGGGACGCACCTCCAGCGGGGGGGGAGCGTCTCACCGAAACTCTCGTCATGGTATACGACTGGGAGGGCAAGAGAGAAATATGCTATCAGATGTACATCAAAGATAAAAAAGCGCTGGAGGAAATTATGGAATACATGCGAAATGTATATCAATTCTCCCCCAGGTATGCACATAGTCCTTTAAGCCAGTGTTCTTCGTCTCCCATTCGTGAAAACGCAAGAGTCGATTACATTTCTCATTCACATTTGGCTAAGACATACGTAACAGTAAGCGCGCCTTTCAGACTCAGTTTAAGCGATGGGGTTTTCCTTCCAAACAGAATCCGGCCCACAAAAATGCAGAGCTTGTCGCTCGCATCAAACAACTTTGGGAGCGGAATACAAGCCAACGGGACATGCTGCGTGTCTTGAATGAAGAAGGCTTTGAGATTAAAGAAAGAGAATTGATGCGAGTACGCGCGAAGAATCGTTGGCTACTCCGTGTTCCCAATGGAATGAAGTCGCAAGCAACTATCCGACCATCTGTGCAGCTACCAGAAGACGAGGGACTACTGGCACTCCAACAGGAAGTATACAAGACTGCAGAACCTTACTACGACGCTCAGAATCTTCCTGCCGATTCATCGGTCATGCGGCCTCCATCGCCTAGCTTATCAGCTGATGTACTCGCGAAGCGTCAAGAGAGACTTGAACGCTTGAAAGCGGACAGTGCTGAACGTTGGGCTTCCAGGAAACGGCGTCGGCGCACCAGGGAATGGGCTGGACTACCAGCCGACCCGCCTGGGCCACCTCGCTTTCCTTCTGAGACGACAATCGATGAGAGTAAGAAATACCTGAGCCTAGACAATTCTAGTTACCGTCAAATAAGAGATCAGTTTCAAAGGATATGTGAAGAGGCAGGGTTCATCAAGAAAACTGTTGCTGGACCTGAAAGATGGCAGGAAGCAAAAAACAGACTAATACAAGAGTCTGAACATCTTCAGCGGGTATTCTGGGAAGATCCCAATCGACTTGATGCCAAAGCTCTCGCTCTCGATGTTGTTTGTACAGATGTCACTAAACGGATGAGGACTTTAGAAAGGCGAATGACAATCGCGGAAGCTAAAAACGCCCTCGGGATCAATCCAGAAGAAAGCCGCCAAATTCGAAACGCATTTTACAATACACTAAAAGCGGCTCATTTTACCAGCAAGTTGGAGGCTGGTGACGAGCATTGGAAGCAACTGAAGGAGAGTTGGATTCGAGACACTGAGTTGCTGCAACGCATCCTTGCCCCTGGCTCGGCAGATCCGGAGCATGCTACGAAATTGAAAGCTCTCGAAGTCCTCTGTCGCGATGTTATGAAGCGACTTCGTGATGACCAAACCAAACGAGATCCCTCTCGGAAGAAGTCTATTACTCGCACCAATATTTCAAGTCCAGACGCTGCCGGTAGCCATGACAATAGTGCATTCGGCAGCATTACTAATGGAATCAGCACGCTTGCGTCGCAAGCTCTCGCCAGCGCCCCGATGACATCGGGCGACTTAAATGATATGCAAATAGATCCCTCGCTTCTGCAAGCGGCAAATGATACCTCGTTTGCCTCAGCAAGTCATGATACTGGGAATTCTTTTGGATACGTTGACCCTATTCTAGATTCAACTTCGCTGCAAGTGCCGATCTATGTGCGAATCTATCCTCCAGACCAGGTTCACGAGGAGTCTAAAACCAGCGTCGAGAAACTAGCAACAAAATCCGTCGCCGAGTTACGCCAGCTAGTTGTTTCTAGGTATCCTGGTTCCATCGTTACCAAGATTCAGGGAATCGATCAGGATGAGCATGGAAACGAAGTCACTTTCAACATCCATGACGATAGTGAACTCGACGCTTATTTAACGCATGTACATGGGCGGAAGGCATACTTTGTCTGTCGCCTAGCTTAGGCCCTAAAAGGCATCCACATGTGTATCCAATACACAAAAAGGCGACGGATCGATCGGCTGTTTGGCTTGAACTCGGGAACCATTTCTTACGCAATTGTGCCCTGCTTCATCCTGCCTCGACGATCTGTAAATTGACCTCATGCTATCTTGCTTAGGGTAGGAAATTTCCACTATAAGCTGATGTTGCTTTCAAACCTGTGGTTGAGTGACGTCAATCGAGATGACCCATGGGGTTTGCGTAATGAGATCAAGTCGAAGCCTTGATGAAATGTCCGATCTGTCACGATTTATGTGCACAATTGAATTATGACTCTTGCTATATGTGATGCGCCTATGCAGACAACCAAGCCAAATCATATAAAGACACCTCACGGTCAATAATGGCAACAAGCACAGCAAATAGAAAAAAAAATTCCGCGTCGTATGAAAAAAATAAGGTACATTGATTCTGGTCTGCCCATTCAAGTTGTAAGATTTTGCACCAAACTTTTGAAAAGAACACTAGTGGGAGGCAACACAAATGGGGGAGTATCAGTAAAGACCCCGGGTAGCCCAGATGACTGCGAAGCTGAAGAGCTTCCGCTGACTGGAAGAGGCTGAAGATTACCATGCCTACTCATGTCGCGAGAACGTGTTCCAAATAAGCCCCCAAGCCCGTAATTGTGAGAGGTCCCGTCCTTGGATTGCGGTATTAACTGAGGAGCTTTATCTGAACAACTGAGGCGTTGCACATTGGCCATGGCATCAACGACGATGTAATCCCCAGTGAGTGGATCTGAGAGTAGGGATACCGGACAATGCTTCAAAGACTGTCGAGTAAGCAGGGACAAGGTCTGCACATCATAAACTCGTATATCGAACTGAGATCCGCACGTCCTTCTCGTTCCAGCCAGATGTCGCGGGACTTTTGAGGCAACTGCACAGGTTTGCGACTTTGAGCTCACAGCCAGAAGTTGATCGTCACACGGAGTGTTATCTTGACCGGCTGATGAACTGGTTGTTCTGACTATGTCGCCAACTGTATCCCAAATATGTGCCGAATGCAGGGATAGAACAACAAGATAGCGTCCCAAGAATCTGGCTGCACATGGACGACCCGAGTAAACCCCTACCCTACTGTGATGAATTTTGCAATTCTGCATATCCAGCAGGATGACGAGGCCGGAGTCCGGACTGGACCTGGTTTGCACGCAAACAGCAAGCACCGACCCGTCCTCAGAAAAGCCCATACAGGCTGCATTTGCAGGCTCAGTTCCGCCACCAATAAATTCGCCTTTTAGGTCGATAGTACCTCGACATTTCCAGGTCTGATATTGGTGTTCTGGATGTTTCGTTGCCAACCCCAGGCGCGGCCTGTTACTCGCGCACCAGAGGCGGAGCACGGCATCACAGCCCACCGTCGCAAATTCATGACTGTATGGTCTGGACGCGAGATCCAGAATAGGCACCGAAACGCTGTCGAAGGAGTGAGGGCTGTTGATACGTGTGGCTAACTCCCACATATTGGACACTTCGTCCCATCTCCAAAACTTGAGGTATGTTTCCCGGTAAAGCGTATGGCTGCCTGTCGAAGTACTATTCGGTTCAAGAGCCTTGATATCTTCAGGGCGCGGTATCCAGTCATCGATCGTCGCCATCCACTTCCCATCCTGACATATGTCAAGTTGACGGACGTCCGGGGCAACAATTTCGGTCCCCTCTGGACTGATCCTCAAAGTCGTGGCATTGGTCCGTGCAAGAGCTTGTCTGGAAATTTGACAGTTGGTGCGGATATCGTATGTCTGTAGCACGCACGAACTCGTAGTAGAATGATAATCCCGTGCGGCATGACGCGAAGCTGGTACCGCCACTAGAAGCCGATCATGGAATTGTGGGTGCAATACAGCTGCAGGAGGTTGAAATGAGATACGCGACTCTGGCAGAGCTGCATCGGCAGGCTTGTTGACTTTGGGGCAAAGTTGCAGGCCAGTGATAGTAACATAAGGTTGCAGCTCTGTCGCTGACAGCACCATGATAGAGTTGTCAGCAAGCTTCACGATGTAAGCTTTTCCAGTTGTAGAAACGACTAGATTGCAAATGGGTGAAGAGAGATGAGGTAAAAACTGCTTGCGACCAGTGTCTAACTGCCATAGGACCATGACTGACTCATCTCCGCCTGAGATTATGTAGTTACCTGAATCCTGTTAACGGGGCTGCCTCCTTACTTGCACTGGCTAGAGTAGGGACATACCATCCTTTGACCAACGGACTGCATTGACGGGACCTCTATGCCAATGTAGCCGTCGAGGAACCAGACCCTTGCTATCGTCCGAGCCAATACCACCTGTAGGGGAAAGAGCAAAAAAATCAGGATAGATTAAGATTGAGCCCCGGATTCGCCCAAAACAAGGTCCATGGTATCTAGGTTATTGTCCTGTGAGCCCTGGGGTATTGTTCGATTTCGTGCTCTGCTCTCTCGGACATCAATGCAAGTGACACGGACAGGCAGGACGACCTCCCTCCAGGCGTACTGCATAGTTGACGGGTCTGGCGTGTAAAATTCCCTGGTGCCAAGCAGAAGGCGCTGACCAGCCCATGCGACTATCGCTTGTCCCTGTCTGAAAACCCTGAAATGGTCTATTCGTTGGGTCGTTTCAAAGACAACAATGTCGCGTGGTGTTTCACCATTGAATAAGGTGACTGTAAGTTGTCTCTTTCCATCCTTGCGCCCTCGCAAAGAAAAGAGAAGCTCATACCTTAATTTCCCGACCTCAGAGGGGCATAATTCAGCGAGGAGTGTTTCTCGAGCCAAATCCCAAGAAGCGATTTGATCTCCAGAAAGCCAATTCCACTTGCTCACACAACCAGTTGAAGTGATGATATAAAGATGTTGCGGATTTTCGGAGCAGATATTGTAACCAACGACTTTTTGACCATCCTTTAACTGTAACGTACGGGACCGGTAAGAGGTCCCAATCGAATGAACATGAATTGCTGTTTCAGTCCCGACAAGAAGATACCTAAAAACAGATCACTTAGCGCTCTTCGCTATAATAATCAAGCCTTCGCATCAACTCTTGAGGTAGCTCACTCTTCATCCGAAGTGATAATCGGGTCGAGGTTGCTATACTGCCCACCGACTGGACTTGAGAGACACCAATTTTCGCGGGAGAATTTCGTCTGCTGCTCACGAGCATGCGCAGAAGTATCTTGTGTGGAAGTGGCATTCTGAGTGTTATTCTCAGTCGCCTTTCCTTTAGCAGCTAGCTGCACGTCTTCAGTAAGATCAAGTGCGCCCTTGGAAAATCGACGACGCTTGGTTCTATCCTTCTCGGTGCGCAGGGCATCGCTAGTTCTGGATCTTTTTGTATGTCCTGACGCAAGAGTCGAACCCGACATTGTAAGGGAGATTAGGCAAGGTGAGGTCCGGGGGATCAAACTGAAACAATGCAGCTTAGTTCAGACTGCTACAATGACCTCAGAGATGCCGTGAGCTAGTTCGATATACAAAGAGTCATGGTACTCTTGTGGTCTTGTTTTTTCATTCAGTTCTTTTTTTTCTCTTTCAAAGCCTTTAGGGTCCCACCAAGATCTCCCAGATTTTCAGGCTAGTATGTATATGGTTAGCTAATTTCCTAAAACAGTAAATATGTGGGGAAGCGATGCAAAATTATATGTCCGCATTTCTAGTACCGTTCAGGATATTCGTTCATTCTTCTGTTCAGTCTCTGCAAGTGTCATAACAGGATCCAATAAAGCAATATCATTTTTGTTCTACATTGTGTGTCCTGTATTGACCTTATATCCTCTGCATCTTTCTTGATCCTCTCAAAAAGCTCATTAGCATACAATTTGAACCAATGATTATCCCTGTTCGGTGCTTTTCTTGTGGCAAGGTAAACTTGAACCTTTTAACAAGCTGCTTGCTGTTGCTCATAGATTTCTAACCAGGTTGTCGGTGATCTTTGGGAACGTTATTTACAGCTACTTGATGAGGGTATTCCGGATGGGTAAGTTTGACCCTCCATTTACCCAGTTTTTCCTTCGAATTTAATTGTTTTGCTAATACCTTTCGTAAAGTGATGCTATGGATCAGCTTGGTTGCAAGAGGTACTGTTGCCGCAGAATGATCATGACACACGTCGATCTCATTGAAAAGCTTCTCCGGTGAGTATATATGATCCTGACTTCGCACGCAGCTATGCTTATACTCTCCTAATAGGTACAATCCTGCTGAAAGAGATCGGGCAAAATCTCAAATATGATGTTTTCTGTCTTCTGGCTGTGGGATCTATTGTGCCTACGTACCCTCAATATCTCCAATTCCGCTTTCCCTGGCCAACTTGACAGAACGACCGGGTTATGCCCATAGTGCAAGACCTTGGCCACAGTGCAGGGCCTTGCTAGTCCCGTTTCGGCGGCAGTACCGACTTTTCCCATCCTCCCCGTCGCTTTAATGCTATCATGCCTCTCGATTACCATGAGGGCCACGCCTACTTCTGAGTTCGAACCGACAGTATCCGAAAAGGCAAGGTATAGGAGAAGTAAAGTGGAACCTTTTCCTCCGTCTGCGGGCATCGATCACATTTCCTCACTTCTGTGATTCTGCGCTACTTTGCCTGTCGATCATGTGGATAATCTGAATTGTAAGAGCTCAGCATCTCAGATCAGTCTTATTTGAGTCGCTTTCGTGCTTTCGTGCTGTCAGCCTTGAGACGTGTGATTAATCTCGGGCGATCTGTCATATTCCTTACGTTCGAGGTGCTTTCTGGATACTGGGTCGACTTTATTTTGACTGTGAAATGAGGATGACTCGAGCTTGAACAGTGATTTACATATGCAATAGTTGAGCTCTTGTCTGGGAGAACATCAGGATGCCCGGGGCACTCTGTTGCAGCTATGCATTTTGGCCTAGCTATAGTTTGATTGCAGCCAACTTTACAACCTGTTATAAGTATGAATTGTTTGCCACCACTTTCAATCTTGGCCTAGGAATGAAAATGCTGCCATGCAGCAGCGTTAAGCTCCTCTATATCATGCATGTGACTACTGTTGACACAACTATATTCGGGCGTTTTGATCTGAGTTCCGTATTCTATGGATGCCGCAAAGAAAGAAGAGGTAGCAAAGCCCCTTGCTCCTATTGCTTGTAGCTGACATATATGTACCCGCTACAATGGAATCCTTACACCTGGATTGAGACTGGCAATTATAGTAAATCTTCGGAAATTATTTGCACTAACGTATGACCCTGCAGCATATGTCCAAGAGTACTCAGTATACATCAGCATTTGAACCAATGACAAGGCAATTATTACTATAAATTCCCCATTCCTAGCCGTCACGACTTCCCTTATCAAACAAAGAAAGCCACTGATATGTCTCATTAGCTGTAAAGAATTCCAAGCTAACCTGGGTGCAGCCCCTCATACTTTAAATGCTTTAAATGGTTAACTACCTACCTTACTTGTTATCAGGTATTTGCTATAAAGTAAATCAGTATGCACCACATCTGCAAAATTTATCTTGAAAGAGATATAGGTATACTGCTCTTATACAATGCCATGATATTACGGTTTGCTTAACGGGGAATTACTGCGCTCATGAGTGAGCATTAAAAATCAACAGCTAACTTTCAACACACTGTGGCCTGGACCCTTATAGAACAAGTACCTAATAGACGCCCAACTGCTTCGTACCAAAGCGGGGAGATTGTTTACGCAGCACAGCCCGTCCAAGATCAGACATACTTATTATCAGAAGCTAAGCCAAAAATGGCCATACCATGTTCTTTGCTGTTGCAGTCGAAAGAGGAGCACTACTGGGCTGAGGTTGACTGCACAAAGTGGCACTCCATTATAGCCGATTGGCAGATTCAAAAAATACTGGACACAAGCCCAGTGACTCCTTCAGGATGTAAGGACCTGAGAGGATTTCCGTCGGATGACCTTGTATTTGCTAACACACCAGGTCCATTGATGATCGCCCTGCCAAACATGGACTCGAGACCATGGATATCTTGGACGCTTCACTAACAATTCCATCACACGATCAGACGGACGCTGTAGAGCACGATGGCACTGGCATCTATGACTCGGAAAGACCACTTGCATCTAAAATCACTAAACCCGAGCAGCGAATATCTCACACCAGCCAGACCGAACTCAGGGTAGGTGTTACTTATGCATGAAAGAGTTGATAGTCGTCATTGACCTTCATCAAAATATAGGTACAAACAAAACAGACTTCTCTTGCCGCTCTCGGGCCACGAGCGAACAATGATGATGATGCTCCACAGTCTGTGATACATGCACCTCCTGGCTTTCGCCAATTTGTAAGGATCATGTTAGACGATCTGTGGGCCGTTACCTAGTTGCTAAAGCCGTGTCTGTTCTAGAAGTTTGGCACCTATGACGACTCCGACAGCTTGATCAACCCAGTTTTGGCATCAACGCACAGCAACTTGGCCGAGATAACACCATCGATGGTTCGAGACGACGAATCAGGAAAGGTGCTTTATCGCTCCCAGTCCACAAGCTAGCAGCGACTGACTTCGTTGTAGAAGCACTCTATATCACCGTCTCCTTTAACCACTTCTATTGAACCTGCGAAAGATTGGTCAGAGCGAGCAACTCCTCGAGCACAAACAAGGCAAGATTTCGAAAACATTGGCCTCCAGTCTCAGCCGAGTGTTCTCGCCGGTGAAATCTCGGCTCCTAAGCAACATACATCTACGGACTCTACATTCTATGAGCCGAGCATTCTTGTCCATCAGAATATATCTCCAGTTCAAACTACAGGTGTCTCTACCACAGTCGACGGGGGTCAAGCACACTCGAAGCCGCCGCTCGGCATCTTTTTGACGGTGAAGCTGAGATCAAAGCACTCAAAACAGCGCTCGCGGAATGCTGGACGCTCTGTAATACATTAGCCAGGCTGAACTATATCCATCGCGGGCGTACTGCGGGCAACGCTGGCACTGGTCTCATCGAAGAAAAGGCATGGACATCATGCTGGAAGCTGTGTCAGGAGTTATATGAGAGTCAGCAAGATGAGTATGTGTCGCCGGTCAAGCCGACGTTAGACCTGTGTCGTGAATTCTGCCAAACTTTATTTGAAATCCGCATCCGTGACAACGAGCTTGCAGATTCAGTGCTTCGGGTCAGTTTCGAATTAAATAATCATCTTTACAACACGCATGATCGGCATCTACCAGACGCTTTCAGGGAAAGGACGCTAGACTTCTATATCACCCTTTGTCATCGTCTCATGAAACAGAGGACCCGTGTCTCGGAGACCGACTCCCTTTTGAAGGCTTCTTGGTCTTTGGCGGAGATGCTGTTCACAATCCGCCAAGGTAGAAGGGAAGGGAGGCCGATAAATGAGGAAATGCTTGGCTCCGCTGTGCAAGCTTGCTGGGAACTCTGTGATCTTTTTCGTGAGGGGTGGACACAACGTAGCTTGCGTTACTCTGATCGTGGAACGCCACGACCGAGTCAGGCCACCTTCACCCATGGCATGCAGCAGGCCGGCCAACAGGAAATCGCTGCTACAGATGAACGGCTGCGCCTGCGAGGTAATCCCGAAACTCCTACGACCATTTTCGATGAGACCACCACTATTTCGCCGGATGACGCCCCAGTTCAGAACATTTTTCTCTTGGGAAAAGATGCCGATCAATTTGTGCAGGCAAGGTGGTCCTCGAGCTTGTCAACAGTCTCAGATATCAGCCAAGGTTCTGGGCAAACATCTTCGACAAATACTATAAGAACGTCGCCTAACGATACGACCCTGGCATGTATACAAGCTTTACTGACCAAGGCCGCGGTCGACAGCGGATTTCAGCCCGAGAAATCACAGAGCCTATCAAGCTTTGTAAAGACGCTTTCATCAGACGCGTTTGGATCGGCGTCGTGGCAAATTTCACTTCTGAGGAGTTATAAGAGTCTTCTGGCACATGACCCAGTGTTCCGCAATATTGACTTGCAACCGCACTCGAATGCTGCGGATATAGCAAGGGCTGTCCAAGTGACGACACAGGGCAGTCAATATTCTTGGCTGCGGGATCTCTATCGCCTGGTGTTCGGCGTCCATGTGGATGATGTCGCCAGTCGTCAGGGGATCGCACTTCAGGCATAATGCATCTCTTGGCGAGGATAACATTAGTATTTTACTTATTGTGGCTACTGTAACTCTGGCTTGATATGTCTATCCCAGCCACCATTATAATATTGTATATTGTTTGCTGATTGCGTCGATACTTTGTCTAGAAATCCGGTTCAATCTCCAGGAATAAGTACGGTAAAGCCTTATCCGGGCGGGGTTCCTCTTTTTCTCCCTCTATTCTTCCCCCAATATGAGTCGAGTGATTGTCTTGCTCGAGGGCTGGCTTCTTATAGTCTGCTTGTTGGGACCGACATGCCGATGGGCTCGTGAGAAAAACATTCCATGGAACTCGAAGCCGCCAGGTATTATTTCTCCTGAGATTGAGGCCGAAGTCAAGCCGAAGTATCAAGGCTTCGACGGAAGAACTCGAGTCTCTACTCAGTCTGTTCAGCAGTCTGTCCTGAAGACCTTCATGCCGTACTTACACTGGCTATTTCCATTCCCTCATTCTTGCCTACTCATTTTCAAAAATTCCGTTCTCTTACTTTTTAGGGCGATGTACTTGTTTGCAATATATTGGGTTTGCAATGACAAATTTAATATAATTTGGAGTACTCTGTGGGAGCTTTTATGTCTCCAAGGAACGTAATAATCTTCTCCTGCTAGAAGCTCTCTGGTGATCATAGGTTTACTAGGCAGTGCCAGGGTAGTATAAATCATGAGTGTATGCAGCATGTTGATTAAACTGTACATCCAGCTCCACACTCTGTACACTCTAAGCATGAAGCATAGTCTGACGATAAGCACGTAGGATCTAGTGTTAGGCAGAACATGGACATCATATAGCGTAGGAGTATTTCGCACAATCCTATAGTTTCATTGATTTCATTGATGTAGGGTCTGGTACATGGTAGATTTACTAGCATTATGCCTCTCTGCCTCCTCCTTAATGGCATTTTCTATCCATGACAAAAGTCCATCTGATACCATGTGGGAGAATCACATGCAAAGGGGTATTCTAAAGCTCGGCAAAGTTTACAAGTTATGTCTGGCAAATCAATCTGTAGAATGACCTCATCTATGGTAGAGGTATGGTTAGCGTGGAAATGGAAATGTCAATAGTCGGCCTACTATCTACAGTTCAACACTTAACTGAGCAAAGATGTTAGGCAGACATTTGCCATCTCTCATGATAATACTCTATGCGCCAAGTAAAGTGCATCACTCCGGTCAGAGGGCAGCACTGAGTTGAAGGGGACGAACATCCTCCCTCAGCTCTGGTAATGCGGGGGTAGCAAAGAATGCTTAGCTGCTCCAGTACTGCATAACTGTATCCTGTCCATAGAAGCACATCATAAAAAATGCAGAGCATGCTTTTTGTAATTCTGATTTCAAATATTGAAAGCACCGCTTTGTTTTCTGGCAGTTCAATTCTTCTATATTATAGGATTACAATTACATAGGATCCCAGTGATATGTTGGTACTCCATAGACTAGCTCAACAAAGATAGTAATTATCATCTAGGGGGTCCTTGTGATGAGCAGTATAAAGTGTTCTAGCAATATTCTCAGTAGAGTTTCATGAAAAAATCTCACTGATGCCCATATAACCATTCTTTTTTCCCGTGTTTTATCGTTCATCGAAATTCCCATTTATCCATTTTTCCAACCATCCTGATTTTGAACAAAGAAAGAAAACAAAATTATATTGGCCCTATTGATCCCACTCAAATCTCAAGGTCGACATTTTAGCCACATACGCAACGCGGCGCACTATCATGCGAATCACAGCAGTAATGACAGGCATCCGCATCCCACAGATGTCATAGGGGGCCAAAAACAGTTGAATCACAATCGATCTTTGAGGAGAAATATGAATCCGGCAAACTTGGCGGGACCCAGCGTCAAGAACTCGGCATACTTTCCAAGGAATGTATAAGCACAAGCCCAGAAAGTTAAGAAACTTAAAAGCAACTTGGTTACCCCTAGGTTTTATTTAAGCATGATTCATTAATAAAGCAACATTGCTTCTTTTGATTTTCCATGCTTGTGTTTATGAAGCTACGTAGTCTGTTCTGGGGAGGCCGTACAGAGTACTAAAATAGCTACCTACATGTACCTCTCCAAGCAAGCAAATTAATAATACTATTGAACGGCGCAACCAATACCAAGTACAAACCATGCCAATAGAGTTACTGCACCTTAATGAAATCCTTAAGATGCAGGTACCTCTCAACCAGGTAGGTACTCCGTAGTGAGTAATGGCCGAGGAGGGAATCGGGATGAACCGTGCTAAACTGACAGCCAAGACATAATGTGGCTTGCAGTATCCACCTAGTATCCACACCAGTGCAACATAAAAATGTGTTCTTGGATGCTACAGTATGAAAAGGATAGGTTAGTTCACAGGCAACAAGTATAAACCACAGAATGTTCAATCGAAGACTCTGCAGGAAAGTAATAGACACAATACAGGCCTAATATAAGCATATTATCTTTTCTGGTTTTGGTTGAGAGAACCTGATAATTCACATAAAAGAATGTAAAAGATGAACCTTGATAGTTTGATAAGATTTTACTGTACTCTTTACCTAGGGCTGTACATACAGGCCATGAGATCCGCGCAATGTCCCCATGTGAAACTCCCAAAAAGAACCAAGGCATCAAGGCGTCTTTTCAAATTCCGCATTTCAGTTTTATTTCTCATCTCTTGAGTTTTTTTGTCTCTCTTTGGTGTCTCTGGATATAATTGTGGATACAATAAACCAGACCTTACGTATGATCAACCTCTTGGCGCTGTTTTAATTATTCATAAATAATATGGTTGCTCAATTAGCTGAGAACTTTGGTTCTGATTATTATGACTCGTTACTGTTGAAGTGAGAACTTCCATGGGTCAAGGTGACTACACCTACCTAGGTAGGCTACCTAGCTACCTTGGTTTCGGCCTGAGCCCGCTGCTTTTCAAGTCTTCCGATGTGTTAAGCCAATGGTAGACTTGAAGCAATAAACTAAAGCTTTACTCCGTGCACTAGCCCCAGAAGATCTCCGCCTCTCCCGACCCCATGTTCCCAATGATATATCTACCCTGGTTATTTTCACTATATTGATGGCTACCCTTTTCTCAAGGCAGATTAGCGGCGGGTTCCGACTAACCATTCGGCTACTTCTTGCATACTGGAGGTAAAAATTTTTGCTGCTACGAATTATGTTCCCCACCGCCCTCGAAACCTTGCTAAAAGCGAGTCGGAAAGAAAGGGAAAATTCAAGAGTTAGAGGAATTCTCTCCAACTCACGGATCAGCCACGGTGCTCTTGAGACTTGCGAGATTACTGTGGAGTCTTGGGTCGGATTATGTCTCCACACATTTTTCCCATGTTCTGGGGGAGGTGCGTGGGGAAATATATAAACATGATCTTCTTCCTCACATGTATCGATCTACCTACTCTCCTGCTCACACCAAGCCACCTTTCTTCCTTAGGTTGACAAAGCAAACCATCTCGGACTGCCTGTTAGTGTGTTTGTCTGAAAAATTTAGGCCTGGGAGTCCGGATCTGGCCGATACTCGCTGCCCTACTATAGGCCTAGTCACTCTTCTCGGATCTCTTGAGCAGGAGCTTGCGCCGTGTTGCAGTTGAAAACCTTCCTTGTTCAAGAGCATCGCTTCTGTCTACTAGGTGCTTACCACCTGGAAAGATCACCATGGCTGCCCCAAAATTCGCTGGCATGTCTGGCAACCTGCTTATGCGAGCAGTGACTGCCGCAGCGACCATGGGTTTCTTGCTCTTCGGTTACGATCGTATGTTAATAAAACGCCTGGAATCGAGTCACCTCTTTGGTCCCCAGCTGATTACTTGAAACAGAAGGTGTTATGAGCAGCATCATCGATGCTCAACCTTTCAATGATGTATTTACGGCGACTAGAGGTAATTCGACTATGCAGGGCACAGTAACTGCCATTTACGAAATAGGTATGTTTGACATCCGAAAGAATGAAACATGATCCTTTATTGATGCTCTCTTCAGGATGTCTCGTTGGTGCTGTCTTTGTACTGGGTGCTGGCGACTGGCTGGGTCGCCGAAAGTCGATCATGGCGGGTGCAACTGTGATGATCATTGGCGTCATCATTCAAGTAACTTCGTATCCGGGACATGTCCCTCTCGCACAGTTTGTCGTCGGGCGAGTTATTACTGGCATTGGAAATGGGATGAACACATCAACGATTCCAACATACCAAGCTGAGTGCTCAAGAACATCCAACAGAGGATTGCTTATCTGCATAGAAGGTGCTACTATCGCATTTGGTACTCTTATAGCCTATTGGATCGACTTTGGTGCATCTTATGGCTCGCCTGACCTTACATGGCGTTTCCCCATTGCATTCCAAATTGTCTTTGGTCTTTTGATCATCTTTGGAATGATGGTTCTGCCTGAGTCGCCCCGCTGGCTGTTCACTCGCGAACGATATGAAGAGGGCGAAACTGTGATTGCTGCGCTTATGGGCAAAGAGATATCCCATCATGATGTACAACTCCAGAAAAACATCATTCTTGACTCAATTAGGGCGTAAGTCATATTCTGGCGGTGTACCTAATGAGCCTGGTGCTGACTTTTCTATAGTTCAGGTCAAATGGGAAAGAACACCCCCTTGTCTGCTGTATTCACCGGCGGGAAGACTCAGCATTTCCGACGGATGCTTTTGGGGTCCTCCTCCCAATTTTTCCAGCAGATTGGCGGCTGCAATGCAGTCATCTATTATCTGCCAGTGCTTTTCAAGAACTCACTGAACCAGACAGAGTTTATGTCTATGATACTGGGAGGCGTTAATATGATTGTCTACTCAATCTTCGCTACATTGTCGTGGTTTCTGATTGAGCGAGTTGGAAGACGCAAGCTCTTCTTGTGGGGCACAGTTGGTCAGTGCCTCTCAATGGTCCTCACTTTTGCTTGCTTGATTCCAGGCACTCCATCTGCTGCAAAGGGCGCTGCAGTAGGTCTCTTCACATACATTGCGTAAGTACTTCTTGTGCCCTTCTGCGCCTGTTCATTTCACCAATTTAGGCCGGGATTCTAATACTGGGTATATGCTGATCCTCTTCAGGTCTTTTGGTGCCACCTGGCTGCCCTTGCCTTGGCTATATCCCGCCGAAATTTCTCCGATCAAGACAAGAGCAAAGGCTAATGCTATCTCAACATGCACAAATTGGCTTTTCAATTTTCTCATCGTCATGGTGACTCCCATCATGATTTCTAATATTAGCTGGGGTACTTATCTTTTCTTTGCATGTATCAATGCATGCTTTCTCCCGGTTATTTACCTCTTTTATCCTGAGACTGCTGGGCGGTCACTGGAGGAAATTGATCTTATCTTTGCGAAAGGCTTTTTAGAGAACATAAGCTATGTTCGTGCTGCTAAAGAGTTGCCATTCCTCTCCGATGAGGATGTTGAGCGGGTGGCTATCCAGTACGGTTTTGGCCCTGCTGATGCGGACATCAAGGGCAACGAGAGTAGCGACAGTGCAGAGTTCAATGCTGCGAGGATGGAGGATCATGCGACGGCCGATCCCGAGAAGGGTGCGTTCACCCAGACTAATTAGATCTCTCGCATTCAGGATTGGCGGAGTTGGGATCTTTCCGCGTCGTTGGCTTGGAATATGTTTCGCCTTATGTCGATCTTCTGCCCCCTGGTGTTC